TGGGTAAAAATTGAGAATATTTCATATTAAAAACTAATTCACTTCGGGAAGATTTCTACATTGTATATATATTTATATTCAGTACATAGTTACATTAGTCATCTACATCTGTGACTAATAGTACGGTTTGTCGTTGTTGCTGTTGTCATCTCTCGTAGCTTAGTGGTCAAAGCATTGGCGCGTAAAGCCAAAGAGCCCGCGTTCGATTCTCGGCGGGGGTGTGTCAACAGCAACAAATTTTTCCTCATTAATTTGAGGAAGTGTGTAGTGGGTAAAAATTGAGAATATTTCATATTAAAAACTAATTCACTTCGGGAAGATTTCTACATTGTATATATATTTATATTCAGTACATAGTTACATTAGTCATCTACATCTGTGACTAATAGTACGGTTTGTCGTTGTTGCTGTTGTCATCTCTCGTAGCTTAGTGGTCAAAGCATTGGCGCGTAAAGCCAAAGAGCCCGCGTTCGATTCTCGGCGGGGGTGTGTCAACAGCAACAAATTTTTCCTCATTAATTTGAGGAAGTGTGTAGTGGGTAAAAATTGAGAATATTTCATATTAAAAACTAATTCACTTCGGGAAGATTTCTACATTGTATATATATTTATATTCAGTACATAGTTACATTAGTCATCTACATCTGTGACTAATAGTACGGTTTGTCGTTGTTGCTGTTGTCATCTCTCGTAGCTTAGTGGTCAAAGCATTGGCGCGTAAAGCCAAAGAGCCCGCGTTCGATTCTCGGCGGGGGTGTGTCAACAGCAACAAATTTTTCCTCATTAATTTGAGGAAGTGTGTAGTGGGTAAAAATTGAGAATATTTCATATTAAAAACTAATTCACTTCGGGAAGATTTCTACATTGTATATATATTTATATTCAGTACATAGTTACATTAGTCATCTACATCTGTGACTAATAGTACGGTTTGTCGTTGTTGCTGTTGTCATCTCTCGTAGCTTAGTGGTCAAAGCATTGGCGCGTAAAGCCAAAGAGCCCGCGTTCGATTCTCGGCGGGGGTGTGTCAACAGCAACAAATTTTTCCTCATTAATTTGAGGAAGTGTGTAGTGGGTAAAAATTGAGAATATTTCATATTAAAAACTAATTCACTTCGGGAAGATTTCTACATTGTATATATATTTATATTCAGTACATAGTTACATTAGTCATCTACATCTGTGACTAATAGTACGGTTTGTCGTTGTTGCTGTTGTCATCTCTCGTAGCTTAGTGGTCAAAGCATTGGCGCGTAAAGCCAAAGAGCCCGCGTTCGATTCTCGGCGGGGGTGTGTCAACAGCAACAAATTTTTCCTCATTAATTTGAGGAAGTGTGTAGTGGGTAAAAATTGAGAATATTTCATATTAAAAACTAATTNGATGTATAACAATATGTCAGGAGAACAAATAAATATTCCAATTATAAAAGATTTCACGTCATGAAAGTTCCATTTACCAAGTAAAGTTTGATGTGTTTTTTTGCATGTTTACCACATTTTGAATAGTGCTCGATATTCGGTATTGATGGTCGTAGTCTAGAATTGATTCAGTTTTGTTACTGATTGTTGCTCTAAATGCAAAACCATAACAAACAAAAAACTGGAATCGTTGATCATTGCTGCGACTTATGCTCCGAAGAACTTTTATAGAAATTCGGATAACAGACAATTTATTAAGTAAAATCTTTACTTGGATCTTTAGTTAGAGAGATATGGAGAAAGTCGATTTGTAGAGTTTAAAATTGATGTATAACAATATGTCAGGAGAACAAATAAATATTCCAATTATAAAAGATTTCACGTCATGAAAGTTCCATTTACCAAGTAAAGTTTGATGTGTTTTTTTGCATGTTTACCACATTTTGAATAGTGCTCGATATTCGGTATTGATGGTCGTAGTCTAGAATTGATTCAGTTTTGTTACTGATTGTTGCTCTAAATGCAAAACCATAACAAACAAAAAACTGGAATCGTTGATCATTGCTGCGACTTATGCTCCGAAGAACTTTTATAGAAATTCGGATAACAGACAATTTATTAAGTAAAATCTTTACTTGGATCTTTAGTTAGAGAGATATGGAGAAAGTCAATTTGTAGAGTTTAAAATTGATGTATAACAATATGTCAGGAGAACAAATAAATATTCCAATTATAAAAGATTTCACGTCATGAAAGTTCCATTTACCAAGTAAAGTTTGATGTGTTTTTTTGCATGTTTACCACATTTTGAATAGTGCTCGATATTCGGTATTGATGCTCGTAGTCTAGAATTGATTCAATATTATTGCTGATTGTGACTATAAATGCAAAATCACCATCATCAGAAGGTCGTCAGTACTAAGAGTGGTTGGACACACGCACCTCTTTTCTATCCTGAGTTAATCTTCGTATTTCCCTAAAACTAGGACAACGCACATCCTTAACTATTTTCTAACAGTAATCTAATCTAGGTCTATCTCTACTTCTCCTAACTCCTGTTTCTGCCTCTAATATGTCTCTGACTAGACCTTCATGCCTGAGAAGGTGTCCTACCAACCTATCTCGCCTATTTATTATTGGCTTCCATAAGGTCTTCTGTTCTCCTACTCATTTCTAACCTTCTCTATCCACGGTATCTTCATCATTCGCCTGTAACACCACATTTCGAACGCTTCTAACCTTTTTTTTCCGCCGCGCCCACTGTCTATGTTTCGCACCCGTACAGCGCTGCTCTCAAAACATACACCTTTCAATCTTTTTTTAAATTTCTAAAACAATAACAAATGAAAAATTGGTATCGCTGACCATCTCTACGGATTATTGTTCCGAAGAACATTTATAGAAATTCGGATTACAGACACAATTCATAAGGTAAAATCTTCACTCGAATCTAGAATTAGAGATATAGAGGAATCGGATTTGAAACACTTATGCAATTTCTGATCACCATACTGCATACTGGATACAATGGTAGGTACAACGTCACTGTCTTCCTAGGTTGCCTTTTCACGATCTGATTGCTCCCTGCTTAATAAATTGTGGTTCGATTATGTATTGTTCGTGAAGTTATGGCTGTTTAAATTCCATAATATAAAGTTAAAGTTGGTCACATCACGTACGTGACCGATCTTCCTAGTAATGTTTATCTTATTTACTGTTTTATTCAATGTTATAACACACCCATGTATGTAGTTACACAGAACGAAATATTTTAAGGCATATGTTCCATGTTTCAGTGTTTTTTTAATAACCATTCTGATACGAGTTGCGTACCTATATTTGTTACCTATTTAAATATTTGTTTTTAATTTCGATTGTTTTTATGTTACTTACAAGAAAAAAAGCTGGTCGTCCGAACGTTAGATGTTTGTCAATCCTCCTTCGTAGATCACGTACATGTTTGCATTGGTGGCCGTTTAAACAATTCATAATTTAACGTTTTCGTTTGCCTTTCGTCGGAGGGTTGTGTGAAAACGATTCGTTAAATATTTGCCGGACCGAACGCAAAGGATAACGACCCAATCGAGATGTGGAACTCCTAGTTCTGTTACTTTTTTCTTCTTTATTTCTCGTATGTTTGAGTCAACTGTACCTACAGAACAGCCTGATCATGGCATATGCGTCTGTATGTGTGACAAATCAGAACGGAACAAACAGAACAAGTCCACCTGATAGATGCGGTGCATTCTTGCCGACAGGAACAAACTAACGTTTTGGTTTTAGCAAACGAATGTTGTGTGTATAATAGATAGTAGATATGTTGTCAATTCCACGAGAAAAGCCTGCTGTGGGTAGTCATATAGGCGTCAATGTGTTTTTACGACTTTATGACCTTTTTTTCTACGAATGAAACGAATACTATGGTAACCACCTGTTCTAGCAAAAATACTTGAAACGTATCAATTTTATATAAAAGGATTTTTGATGGATATTTTCTGTAATGTATAAAAGAAAAAAGAGAAACAAAACTCTTAGTGTATCTGGGGCGTATGTAGGTGTTCAATTTCTAAATAAGAAATAAGAATTGATAAAGTATTGGATGTATTCTAAAAAATGTCTTTGGATAAAGAAGCCGGTGTAGTAAAAACCACGCAATAAAATGTCCGTAACCAAATTTTATATGAAATTACTTTCACTTTTGTGATGCTTTTAATGGGATATATCCATGGTCGTAGTCTAGAATTGATTCAGTTTTGTTACTGATTGTTGCTCTAAATGCAAAACCATAACAAACAAAAAACTGGAATCGTTGATCATAACAAACAAAAAACTGGAATCGTTGATCATTGCTGCGACTTATGCTCCGAAGAACTTTTATAGAAATTCGGATAACAGACAATTTATTAAGTAAAATCTTTACTTGGATCTTTAGTTAGAGAGATATGGAGAAAGTCAATTTGTAGAGTTTAAAATTGANTCCTATTTTAGCTATTCATGTATATATTTTATATATTTCTCATCGTGTAGAATTTCAGTTTTGGAGTGATATTTAATTAGGGTTCCATAGAATAGAGATTTGTTAATTTTTCCATAGCTTTAAAGGTTTAGGACTTGTTACTTTATGCAATAAGTTGGTTGGTTCAAAAAGGAGTTTAAGTAACAAACCAATACTGATACATTGCTGTATTTTTTGTTATATTGTTAATTCTCTGTTGGTTTTTTTTCTGAATCAAATCTGTTTCCTCCTACGTATATTTACAAGGAAATTGGAGTACTGTGAAACATAATTGAATGGAAAACTCCAAAATTCTTCTAAAGATGACACCTTTTGAATATCGCATTTTAGATTTTTTCCAAAGGTTTTGTGAAAAGTTGAGATTCTTAATATTGATTTATTTAATTTATAATTTTATTTACGTATAGGTACTGAAATAACAAATAATTCAATATAGTAATCAATAATAATACAAATTAGAATGAACGATCTATCCCAATACAATTTTAATTTCTAATTTACATTCAAACCGGGTAACCTGCACATCCCCACTTCTGTATTTATTGAATTTTGTCTTTTGTTCTAGGTTCAAAGATGGAAGGCCGTATCCCTGGCCGGGAACAGCCAGTCAGCTTATAATCTACCCCGAAAACGCCAATCAAACAGTTTACACCCAAAGTGTCACTCCAGATGACGCTGGAAATTACACTTGCTTACTAAGAAACGATTCTGTGGTCCACGTTCATACTATTCAACTGCAGGTTTTTGGTGAGTAAATTGTAGTGTATAAGTCTTGGATCTTTAGTTAGAGAGATATGGAGAAAGTCGATTTGTAGAGTTTAAAATTGATGTATAACAATATGTCAGGAGAACAAATAAATATTCCAATTATAAAGATTTCACGTCATGAAAGTTCCATTTAACCAACTAAAGTTTGATGTGTTTTTTTGCATGTTTACCACATTTTGAATAGTGCTCGATATTCGGTATTGATGGTCGTAGTCTAGAATTGATTCAGTTTTGTTACTGATTGTTGCTCTAAATGCAAAACCATAACAAACAAAAAACTGGAATCGTTGATCATTGCTGCGACTTATGCTCCGAAGAACTTTTATAGAAATTCGGATAACAGACAATTTATTAAGTAAAATCTTTACTTGGATCTTTAGTTAGAGAGATATGGAGAAAGTCGATTTGTAGAGTTTAAAATTGATGTATAACAATATGTCAGGAGAACAAATAAATATTCCAATTATAAAGATTTCACGTCATGAAAGTTCCATTTAACCAACTAAAGTTTGATGTGTTTTTTTGCATGTTTACCACATTTTGAATAGTGCTCGATATTCGGTATTGATGGTCGTAGTCTAGAATTGATTCAGTTTTGTTACTGATTGTTGCTCTAAATGCAAAACCATAACAAACAAAAAACTGGAATCGTTGATCATTGCTGCGACTTATGCTCCGAAGAACTTTTATAGAAATTCGGATAACAGACAATTTATTAAGTAAAATCTTTACTTGGATCTTTAGTTAGAGAGATATGGAGAAAGTCGATTTGTAGAGTTTAAAATTGATGTATAACAATATGTCAGGAGAACAAATAAATATTCCAATTATAAAGATTTCACGTCATGAAAGTTCCATTTAACCAACTAAAGTTTGATGTGTTTTTTTGCATGTTTACCACATTTTGAATAGTGCTCGATATTCGGTATTGATGGTCGTAGTCTAGAATTGATTCAGTTTTGTTACTGATTGTTGCTCTAAATGCAAAACCATAACAAACAAAAAACTGGAATCGTTGATCATTGCTGCGACTTATGCTCCGAAGAACTTTTATAGAAATTCGGATAACAGACAATTTATTAAGTAAAATCTTTACTTGGATCTTTAGTTAGAGAGATATGGAGAAAGTCGATTTGTAGAGTTTAAAATTGATGTATAACAATATGTCAGGAGAACAAATAAATATTCCAATTATAAAGATTTCACGTCATGAAAGTTCCATTTAACCAACTAAAGTTNTTATTATGTTAATATTGGAAAAAAATTTAAATGGGTACACGTTACACACTATTGACATACACATACATTTAAGTATTTATATTTTCTGGAAAACGAAATGTTCTTTATAATTTATTGATGAGCGGTAGTATAATAATAATGTTGGCCTTTCAATGCATATAGAATAATACTGTTAATGTAATAAGTCATTAACAAAATTGATTTATAATATTGCTGGAATAATAGCAAATAGGATTAATGTTTTCGGTCGCCCAGGTAGTGTGATAACAATAATATTGCAACGTTTATCTGGAAACGTATAATGAAAATAATAACAGTAATAATGGATGAAAGCATAAGCCAAAATTTATCATCCATTTTATTGTTGTCAGTGAAAGAGATTTACGAGCATTGAACTTGACCGTTGTTCTATAATGAGCGCGTGACACTTTGAAGTCCACCTCTTGGTATTCGTCAGGTATAAGAGGTGACTATTGTTAACAAAAATCCTTGAAATTCAGATGAGATTTGTAGGGCCACAATCTCTTGGGTATTATGTTTTCACTATAGGGTGGTAGCTGAGAACTGTTGCAAACGAATTGTTCCCTTGACAGCTTTCACCTTTGAAGATAAGAAGTCTATTTCAAGGTAAGTTTTTAAACGTTGGCTGACGCAGGATGATTTGCCTTAATATAAAAAGCAGTCCGATATATGAACGGATTTCTTCTGTATTATCAAACGAGCTACACAAAAATGAAAAATCATACCGACTTATTTAAGACTGTATTATGTTGGATGTAGCATACAATCATCAATTCAATTATTTTTCTTCTTTTTATACAGAGTAACTATCCATTTAATGCATCTTTACTTATAAATAATGTAGAAAACTACGTTCTCCTATTTCGTGCAAGCGATGATTTAAATTTCATATTCAACTCAATACTTTATTCAATGATTGGCATTTTTTGCCTCACTTGGTAATGAATGTTCCTTTTGTGATATGACCTTTTTCTGGTTGTTCAACTCATATTATGATTTACTTTCAATTCGTCAACTTTTTCCCGTTGTCAAAATATTGTAACTGTAGTTAGGTACTTTTTAATTTCATCTTCAACTACAGTGGAATCCGCTTATAATGACATCGAAGGGAAATGACAAACACGTCATACTAAGCGGGCGTCATACAAAGCATAGTCTTAGAAAATATTTGCTTAGTTATTTAGTTTAATAGAGAGAAAAGCTACAAATTGTATATATTTATTAACAGAAAAAGAAAAAGAACGATGAATTGTAATATTAATATACATAAGAAGGGTCAGAAAAATGAGCGAAAATGTTATTATTAATCATTTGGGTCACTATAGCCGGATATGATTTCTTGAGAATCA